AGAGCACCTGGCAGAGAGGGGGACAGGTGGGGTCACGCAGGACCTTGAGGACCCAGGAGTCCGGATTCTGTTCTAAAGTGACAGGAAGACACTGGAGGGTCTTCAGCAGGGGGTGAGGGGGTCTGCTTTCCCGCTGGACTGTGGGGAACCCGAGGGGAGGCAGGGAGACGAGAGGAGGCAGGTGGCGCCACGATCCGGGACGCGGGGGCCTGACCCGCAGCGCGGACCCTCGGCGAGTCACGGCACTTCAGCAAGTTGATGCTGCAGGAGCAAGTCGATTTTGCAAAAAGCAAAGACTTTGCAAAACTCCCTGATATTTCTCGCTGGTTCCGTTTCCCTGTCCTGTGGCGCCGGTTAGGGTCTCCGGGGCGATGAGAGCAGGCGTCCTCGCCTTGCCCCTGAGCTGAAGGGCGGAGCGGTCCTTTGGGACGGTTCAGCGAGACGCTGCCTGGGGCTTTCAGAGGCGGCCTGGTCCTCCCCGCTGGGTTTTTCATCTGAGTTCCTGTTGCCTTTGCTCAGACGACTCTCCCGCGGCCACGACGCGATCGTGTCTTTTTCTCCTTTACTGGGCCAGTGGGGTGACCCCCACCCAGGGATTTTCTGGTGTTAAACCAGCCTTGCATTCCTGGCAGAGACCCCGCTGGGCGGTCGGGACGTACGAGGTTTGTGTAGACGGCTGGCCCCAGGCTGCTGGTGTTTCCTTACAGATTCTCGCGTCTGTGTTCACGAGGGATGTTGGTCTGTGGTTTTCTGTTCCTGGAACGTCTCCGACAGGTTTCGGTGACGCTGGCCTCCTACCAGCTGGGGAGCGTTCCCCACACCTCTCACTTCTCAGTTTGGTTTGGCGTCATTTGTCCTTTAAAAGCTGCGGGATAAATTCTGAAGGTGGGGGTGTCAGCACTTGCTGACGGACGGGATGTGCAGGGCGAGAAAAAGAGCGGAGGGTCAAGGGTGACCCCGAGGTTTGGGCCTGAGCAGGTGGGGAACCGTGGGGTGGGTCCCTGGCTGGGGAGAGCCGGGGGCAGCAGGCGGCAGGCAGAGCGTCAGTTTGGGGCCCGTTACCTTGGGGTGCCTCTCCGACACCCAAGGGGGTGTGGGTCTGGTGCTGTGGGGAGACAGGGGCCCAGAAGGGGAGCACTGGGTGGGCCGAGGGCGTGGCTGCGAGCCCGGGCTCCATCTGCCCCCGGATGGCCGGGCCCCATCCCCTGCGTGCAGCCGTGCTGCCGTGTGCCTCGGCCATCATCTCTGGGCGCGTCCTGACCCCTGCTGGCACGCGGTGTGTGGGGCACGGGGACCCCGTGAGCTGACCTGGGTCCCGAGTGGAGGTGGGACCCGGGTCTCACTGAGCATCAGAGCCCCCGACCCCCCAGAAGCTCCAGGTCTAATGGGCGGGGGGCCCTCGTCCTGCGGGCAGTGGGGCTCCGGGTGGGCTTGGAGCCGCGGGAAGCGGGAGACCCCCCGGGCACCCCCTGCCCCGGATCCAGCCGCACGCGCAAAGCTTCCCCGTTCCCAGAGCCCCCTCCTTCTACAGCCGCGTCCGAGTCCGGGTCCGGGCAGAACTGGACGCTGCGCCCGCTTCACTGACGGGGACCCAGGACCCTGACATGGACGGCGACGGGCACGGGCGCTGCGGGGGCTCTGGGGCTCTGCGGCCGAGGGCCCCCTGCTCCTCGGCACCGTCGGCTCCTATCGCTGGTGCCCAGGGGCTGCGGTGGGGTCTCCCCTTGGCTGTTGGCAGGATGGACCCGCGGCGTGAAGGAGGGACCTGCTCCCTCCCGGCTCTGGGCCGGGGGCTCCTTCCCTTCTCTGCCCCCTCAACACCCGTGCCCCCCCATCTAGCTTTGGGTCTGTTTCTGCACCCATGAGACAGGGGCAGTTAGCCTGCGGGGGCCTTGGGGCACAGGAAGGGGAGGGGGAGGGGGCAGACACTGCTGGAGGGAACCGGCCTCCTGGGTCAGAATCCTGGCTGTGTGACCCTAGGAAAGTTGCTCAACCTCTCTGGGCCTCAGCTTCCTCATCTGTGAAGGGGGATTGTGAAAGGGCTTGGGGGAGGGCAGTGAACCAGAAGGTGTGGGTCAGCTCATCCTGTCACCCAACCTGCTCTGGGGACAAGGCAGCTAGGCTGGGGGAAAGGAAGGCCGACCATCAGCATTCTCAAGATCGGGGCCACCTTCGGAAGACTCCGGGGTCCACCGGGGGGGGGGGGGGGCATCCTCGGAATCTCGGGCTGGTCTGGCCTGGAGCCGGGGCCTCTCTCCCCGCCGGCCGGGGGCCCCTGGTGCCAACTCCCAGAGCGGGGCCCCGGCCGCCAACACCCGGAAGCCGTGTGCCATGGTGACCGCGGGCACGTGCAGCAGGGCCGGCCCCTGGCCGAGGGCTGCAGCCCGGCCCCTGGCGCTCCTGCGCGGGCCGTGTGGGACCGCTGGAAGGGCGGGACGCACGCCAGGCTCAGCGGGCGGCCGCCCCACAGCATGGTGGCGGCCCAGGGCCGGGTGGCCAGGCCTTTATACTGTTTATCCGGGGCCAGGGGGGCGGGTGGCCGGATCCAGTGTCACTGGCCACCTGGCCTTGTCCTTGTTTCTCTCCCTGCTCCGCCTGCGCCCCTCGTCTCTGTCAATCACGCTCTGCGTCTCCCTGTCTCTGGCCTCCTCCTCGGACTCCTGCTAAAATATTAAAATTTCAATGTAACGTTGAGCGTAGAGTATGAAATATTAAATTCCTCCTGGTGAAATATTAAAGCGTTAAGAGCAGGCGGCCACCCCGCTCCGATCACCATCTGCAATCCCGGGTCAGCATGGCTCCTTCCAGATCTTTCTCTGGACGCTGCAGAGTACAGAAGCGTGACCCCTTTCTGAAGACCGTTATCTGGAACCAGCGGGATGGCGCCCGTGTGCGAGCTTGTGTGACACCCTGCCGTTTGGCACGGGCGTCTGCCGGCACGTCTCAGGGACCCGTCATCGCGTAACATTCCCCAGCGCAGTGGCACAAAGCACTCGATCTCTCACGATCCTGGGGGCCCCCTGCCGTCGACACTTGTCGGGGCGGCTGGGCTGGAGGTCCCGGGACCCTCATGAGCGTGCAGGTGGTGGGCGCCGGCCGTCAGCCAAGAGGCCTCGGAGCTCCTGCCCTCACGGCGGCTGAGGGCGCGTGCCAAGGGGACAAGGGGGTCCGAAAGCCGGTTTGCCCACCATGCGCCGCATCCCCATGACGTCACTCCTGCCACATTTGTATCATCGAATCAGGCGCCCCGAGTCCAGAGGGGACTGCCGGTCCCTTACAGACGAGGTCAGAGTGACTCTCCGGGGGGTCCAGTGAGCAGGCTCATGGACCCTCCTTTCTGAGTTCTTCCGCCTGAGCCCCCAGGAGGTCAGGCTCTCCCTCTCTGGCCCCACAGCCTTCTGTTCTCATCCTCAGGCTTGGACGCAAAGCCTTACGCTCCTGACCGGCTCCCCACACAGCTGTGGCCCAGTGCTGGCCGCTGAGTGGATGCGCGATGCCTTTTCTTGAACTTAAGAGAAAAGGAAATAGCCTTCAGAGAGGTTGGGACACCTACTCTCAGCCACACAGCAAGTGGTGGGAGGGGATTTGAGCTCTGAACTTTGGGGCTGCGGAGGGCAGCTTTTGCCCTCGTCAGCTGGCTGGGAGGTGAGGGGTGGGCGGAGAGCAGCCTGGACCAGGGGGGCTGCTGTGAGGGGTCCAACGGGCAGGGCAGGGAGGAACCAGGGACGAACCTGCTGTCTGCGGGAGAAGCCGGCGGCTGGGAGAGTGGGCGTCCTTCTGTTCTGGCCCCAGCTGCCCCTGGGGCTCTAATGAGGTCTAACCAGCCCCACCCTGGGGTCGAAGCCCCTGACCCCCAACCCCGAGGTCTCGGCCTCAGCCAGGACAGCCTGGGTGCCTGGGGTCTGAGTCCCCCACTGTGTGACCTCCCTGCCCGGGCCCCCGCCCCCAACTGTCAGATGGGCACAGGGAACCGGCCCAACAGCGAGGCACGAGGGCTGGAGGCTGGCAGGCCGGGTGCCCGGATTCTAGGTCACAGCCTCCCCGGGGGCCGCCCCCACCGCCCAGCGCCCAGCTGGCCCAGCTGCTCCGAGGCCCCCTCCCTCCACGATGAGGCCTCTGATGAGGGAGCCGGGGGAGGCAGGGCCGGGCCAGATGGCGGGGCCGGGCAGGGGCCGAGGAGCAGCGGGGTCTGCTCCGCGCCTCGCGCCCCTGACAGATCCCGGCAGCAGAGCCCAGCTCCCCGGGGCCGGCTGGTTTCAGTCTTCGAGGTGGTCGGGCAGCGCGCAAGCCCACGTGGCCCGTGTCCGGCTGTGGTCCTGGCCTGTCCTGCTGCGGCTGCCGGCGTGTCCCCGACCCCAGACTGCCCGCGCCCGGCTGTGAGCTCACGGGCTCCTGGCCCACAGCTCCTGCCAGGACGACACACAGACTCCCAGCCCGGCTGAGCGACGGCTCAGACAGACACAGCCCGTGCTCGGCAGGACAGTCCCGGGGGACAGAGTCCTAACAAGGACACTGAGTTTGGAGGACGGGCCAGGAAGAGGCCCTGCTCCTTGGGGACGGGGCACAGGGGGCCTTCACGAGGACGACCGGGCCGGGTCCTGGGCCCAGAGGACCGGAGAGAGGCCCTCAGCGGCCGGGGCGGGACTGAGGCCAGGGGAGGCCGGGCCAGCCAGGAGAGGCCACGGGGCCGGCGGGGACCCAGGCTCCCTCTTGTTCTCTGTGAGGACATGGCTGTAACAGGACGTGACCCGGAGGCCCTGGTTTGGGGACCCTCCGGCTGGCGCGCATGGAGGCACTGAAGACACAGAGCAGAGGCAGAGACGATGCCACCGAGACACGCTCGCTGAGACGGCGTGCAGTCGCTCGGGGGCTCGGTGAAGGCTGCGGTCAGCTCAGATCCCATCCCCGGCCTGGACCAGGGCGGCCCTCGACAAACCCTGCCGGCCAAACCGAGTCCTTGGGACCCAGGTTTTGCTAGAAAACCGAGGCTGAAAGCAAGGTCCTGGGGCTCCAGAAGTTTGCGATTTTATTAACAAAAGAAAAACGTAACCTATACAAAAAGGGAAGTCCGTTCGTGCGGGTGAGCCGCCCGCTAGGCCTCCTGCTGCTGGACGAAGGGGTTGGGGATGGCCTCCATGCCGTCCTGCGGGCAGATGAGCACCACCGAGGTGCCCCTGCACACCACCAGGCCCAGCGGCCGCGTGTCCTCTGTGAGCTTGTACTGGTCGTCGGGGTCTGCGGGGAGAGCGCGGGTGTGAGGCGGCGCAGGCGCAGGGGCCTGGGGGACCGCGATCGGAGGGGACATGTGGCTGTGTGGACACACGGAGATGACCCACAGACCATGAGGCCCAGGGAGAGCCCCTGCCACAGCGAGAACACGGCCCGGGGGACAGCAGGGACGCTGAGCCTCAGAGCTCACTGGGGGCCTGGCACGCGAGCCAGCAGGGGCCCCGCAACACCTCATGGGATGAGCAGCTGGAACAAACGTCGATCCGGGCTCTCGGCTTCTGCAAAACTACGGAAGCCCCGTGGGGCTAACATTTGCCCGTGTCACGGGGCTGTTAACGGAAGGACTGTGGAAGTGACAGCCAGCTCGAGAGCTCTGCTGAGATCACAGAAACTAAAAGTCCGCGTGCTGTTCCCGCGTGACGCGGGGAGCACCAGGTGGCCCAGGGAAATCAGAGACCCAATGGATCGGAGCTGCTCCGCCCTCAGATCCTGAGGGAGGAACGACCCCCCTCCCCGCCCCGGAGCCGTGGGGACGGGCCCAGGGCTGCCACGCCTGGCTGCGCTGGATGAGCTGGGGGTGCGGCTCCCCTGCCCAGCGGGGCCCCCACAGGGGCAGGCGCTGCCGACAGAGTGGAGCCATAGCCCCAGGGCCACCCGGCCCCGTCCGAGGCTTCCCTGAGGGCCCTGTCCTTCCACAGACGGCAAAAATCATCCGCCCGAGGAGGCCGGGCCGGAACCCCAGCTCAGGGGCCACAGCGGACTCTGGTGGACCCACACGGGCGGGGGAAACTGCGGGTAAAGCGAGAGGCCCCATGGAGTGGCCGAGCCCATGCTTCCCCCACAGAGGTGCACCCCACCCGTCCTGGACACGCCAGTGTGGCCGCGTGAACCTCCGACCAGTGACTCCTGCCTCAACGACATCGGTGGTCCCAAGCGCCCCGTGAGGCTGAGCTGGAGAACCTGACGGCTGACGGGCAGCCTGACGCCGCGGGCGCTGTGGACGGTCAGGGACTCATGGGGCAGGGACCCGGGGCAGGAACGAGGGGAAGGGCCCTTTGTCAGCAGCAGGGGTGACACCCGGGGACCGCAAGGGACGAGGGGAGCTGAAGGAGCAGCAGAGCAGCTGGCGCCCTCCTGACCATGCCGGGTGCAGAACACACCGCGTCTCTGGAGTCCCCGAGCTGCCAGGTGAGTGAGCCGCGCCAGGACGTGGAGCTCAAACACGCCCGTCCTCGGTCTGTCCCTGAGGCGCCACGTGCGTCCCTCAGCCGGGGGATCGGAGCAGGAAGAAGGCCGGCTCACCTCTCACGTACTCGATGGTGCCATCCAGCACAAGGTTGAGCAGCGGGTCAAAGCCCTTCAGGATTCCGCTGGCTTGAAGAGGCACCGGGAAGAGAGGAGAAACGGGGGCGTGAGGTCCCGGTTGCGCTGGGGGGACTGTGAACCCTGCCCAGGTGGCAGCACTCGGGGACAGGGGCGCCCCTCCCACGAGGGGCCCACCCCTCGGCAAGACGCAGACGTGGGAGCAGCGTCTCCGGGGACGAGGGGAAGCGAGGGACTGGCTCCCAGGAGCGGAGCAGGCCCAGCCGACCCCAAACCGTCCCCACCAGATCACGGTGGGCACCGCTTTCTGCGAAGGGCCAGGCGGCCACCGTTTGGCACCGCTGTGTCCCTCTGTTAAGAACGGTCCCCCTGGCTGCCCCCACACTGTGACGGGGACAGCTGGCCCATGAACGGTCCCCCTGGCTGCCCCCACACTGTGACGGGGACAGCTGGCCCACAGAGCTGGGAATGTCCCCCGTCTGGCCTTTTACAGAAGTCTGCCAGCCCCTGGCTCTGTGTCCCTGTGTCCCTGCTCGTCCCTCCTGTAGAACGAAGACGGTGACGGCACCGGCCTGGCAGGGTTCCGGGCAGCGTCAGACGCAACACCGCACGGGGCCCTGGCACAGGGGGCCTGCACCTGCGGGTCAGCCCTCCTCCTCAAGGGACACGGGCACTGCAGTGGGCAGCTGGGAGTCCAGGCCAGAGCCACGTTCCCCGGCCCCAGTGAACACGCCTGTCACCCCATCCCCTTGACTGTGGGAATCTGATGGGGTGTCACTCTGTCATTAGGTTATGACAAAAACAGAAGACTTTGCAGCCGTAATTCAGGACCCCCATCAGTCAACCTTCAGTTAGTGTTAAGGAAGTCTACGCTGGGTGGGCCAGACCGGATCAGGTGAATCGTGAAAAGTATGAGCACTTTCCGAAAAGAGAGATTTGAAGAACAAGAGAGGTTTTCCTGCTGGCCTTAAAGGAGCCATGCTGCGGACAGCCATGTGGCAGGGGGGTCGGGGGCGGCCGCCAGGAGCCGAGTGTCCCTGGCCAACACGAGCCAGGAAACGGGGGCCCCAGTCCTACGACCACAAGGAACCAAATTCTGCCAACAACCAGCGGCTTGGAGGAGGTCTCTGTGCCTGATCCAGGCCCCAAGAGACGCTCCTTTATCACAACCTCGTAGGAGCCCTCGAGGCTGAGGCACGAGGCCTCCCAGCCCGCAGACACGGGGAGTCAAGAAGTTTGAGTGTTCAAGCTGCTGAATTGGTGATAACTGACCCCACAGCGTATAAAAGTAACACAAGCGCCCTGACCAGCAAGAGCCGCCTCTCACTCATCTGCCCCAGGGCCGGCACCGAGCCGCTGAGCAGACACCTGTTCAGACACAGAGTCTCACTTCTAACCGTCCCTACACCCGCAGGCACTGTGTCCTGACCACTCTGAGGCCAGCCGATCGTCTGCACCTCGGGGGAGAGGGGTCTGGACGACCGTCTCATGAGATGGAACCCATGGTCGAGGAGGGAGCTGAATAAATGAAATGCTGACGGGGGCGGGACTGCGCTAAACCTGTTACGTCCTTAACCCTTGCATGCCCACTGCCACTCGCTGAGACAGGCGGAGTTCACAGCCTCTCTGACAAATGAGGAAACTGAGGCTAAGAGCAGGTAGCAACCCACCCAAAGACTGACAGCCGGTGAGCGGAAGAAATGGGGCTCGGACCCAGGGGGCCCCCACCAAGCAGTGGCACCCCACGCCGTTCCTGCCCTCTGCCCGAGATCCCAGCGGGAGACTCGAGCTAAGTATCGTGTTAACGGGCATCAAGCGGAAAGCTGTGACGGGGGCTTCTAGCACAGGGCCTGCGGCGAGGGGGAGGCTCAGGGAAAGCCTCCTGGAGCAGGTGTCCTGAGCTGAGAGCAGGGAACCGACTGTGGGGTCAGCCGGGAACAAGCTGACCTGGTGAGAGCACTCCAGGCACAGAGGTAACAGGAGCTTCACAGCCCCGGGGCGGCGAGAGCTCCCCACCTTACTCAGAGGAAGAAAAGGTGGGTCCTTTACCCTGCGACAATGGGGAACCAGGCGACCCCACGTGTCTGTAACAAGTCCCTCTGGCCGGCAGGCGGAGACTGACCGCAGGGCCGTGGTTCTCAACTGGGGCAATGCGGCCTCCCAGGGGACACCAGGTGATGTCTGGGGACACCTGTGGTTGTCACACTGGGGAGCTCCAGGCATCGAGTGGGTGGGGGCCAGGGATGCTGTTCAACACCCCGCAGTGCCCAGGACGCCCCCCCCCCCACACACGAGTGACCCGGCCCCACGCCCACAGAGCCCAGGACAGCCCCCCAGAGAGAATGACGCGGCCCCATGTCCACAGCGCCCAGCTTGGGGAACCCTGGGGTGGGGGTCTCGGCGAGGAGCTGGGGCAGCCGCCGGGGCGGGAACTAGACAGACAGGGCCGCAGGGGAGGCAAAGCCGTGGATCCCAGTCCCGGCTGCGCAACTGTGGCTCTGGGTTACGTCTGGACCCCTTTCCGTGCCTCAGTTTCCCCACCTGCGGAACGAACCTAACAGTTCCTACTTCCCAGCCTGCTTATTAGGCGGTCTATTAGGAGCCCTGCACTAGGCATCCGAGCAAAGCGCCCAAGCGGAGCCCGGCAGCAGGGGTCGCGATCGCCGCTCCTTACTTATCCTAAACCGTTAGGGGGGCGGGCGGCGGGTCTCACCTTCGCGGCCCCCCTGGAACTTCACCCGGATCGTCTTGTCGATGTACTTGGACAGGTCCAAGATACTCTCCTTCTTCTTCTTCTCTTTGTCCTGCGAGGAAAGCAGAGCGCGTGAGGCGGACAGCGCGCGGCCGGGCCCCGCGCCTCCCGCCCCAGCAGCCCCGCCGCGAGCTCACCGCCATCTTGCCGGGCCGCGCCGTTCTGCGCAGGCGCCGTCGCCGCGCCCTTTGACCTCGCCCCCGCGCGCAGGCGCGGCGCACACACGGCGCAGGCGCGGCGGGGCGCGGCGGGGCGTTGCTGGGAAACATCTGACGACGCCTGCGGCGGGGACCGGCCGACATGGCGGCGGCGGCGGCGCTGGCGCGGCTCGCGGCGGCCTTCCTGCTCCTCGCGGCCCAGGTGAGGGCTGCGCCGGCCCCGCCGGTCCCGCCGGCGGCAGCGCCCCGGCCCCTCGGCCCCCGGCCCCGCACAGGGCCCCGCCCGGCCCGGCCTGGGGTCAGCCTCGGCCTCCGCGCCCCCCGCGCGGGCGGCCGGCGGGCTCGCAGCCCGGCCGTGACCTTGCGGGCCCGTCCCCCCTCCCCGCCTCGGGATTCCCCGCGGCCGCAGCGTCACTCGCTTCCCCCGGGGCTGGAGTTGGGGGACCCCCTCCCGTCCCCCGGGTCCTGCTGGTCAGTCCCGGCGTCTCCATCTGACGCCGGGGACGCCGCCCCCCCCCCCCACTGGCTCTGTGGCCTCAGCCAGGGGGCGGCCCCTCCGTAAGCCTCAGTTTCCCCTTATTCACGATGCTAGCGCTCCCTCCACCACCACCGGGATTGCGGTAAGCTGCCCAGCGCGGCGCCCGGTGCCTGGTAGCGCCGGGGAGCGTCCAGGAGCCCAGCCCTGGAGTGGGGTCGAATCGGCGCCCCATCTTTTGCTCCTTGACCTTGGGCAGGGAAGTCTCCTGCTTTGGGCGTCCGTCGCTTGTCCCCAAGAGTACAGCGTGGACTCGGCGAGATGATGCATGGGGTGATGAGCGTGCCACGCGCTGCTACTTTGTCACTTGACTCGAGGTCTCCGGGGCCAGTGGGGGACTGCCCACGAGATGGCCGATGCACGTTGTCATGAGCACATCTTTGGTTTGCAAATCCTCCCTCTCTCCTGGGTTTGGAAGCTCAGGGAATGTTGTCCTAACAGCCCTACCAATGAGGCCATTAACCTTGACCCGGTTACCCCAGTTCACCGCCACCTCTGCCATAGCTCCTGTGGCCGCCTTTGTTCCCCACGTCCCCAGTCCGTTTTTGACACGGCAGGAGTGATCTCTCTCAAAGTGTGTCAGCTCTCGGTGCATCCAGGCGAGAGCCTTCCAGCAGCTTCCTGGAGCACTTGGGAGGCCTCTGTGGTCCTCCCTTCCCGGCTCTAGTTTGTTGAAGTTGCTCTGCTCTCTGGTCATCTCTGTTTGCCTGGAATTCCCTGGCCATCCTTCTGGTCTCAGCTTCCCTGTCCGTCCCCCCTGGAAGCTCTCTGGGACGCCCCCTCCCCAGCTGCTTCACTAGCCCCCGTGTCCTTTCCCTGCCCGTGTTCACTCATCTTCCTCACCCGTCTGAGCAATTTGACGGCATGGACTTTAAGTTCTCGAGACGTTTTGATCGAGGACAGAGCAAGCGACGGATGAAGGATCGTGGGAACACCACGGGGAGATTCACTCGATTTGCCTGCAAAGCTTTTCAGAAGCACTAGGGGCCGAGGGGTGTTCTGAAGGATGTGTAGGAGTTTGCCGGGTTGTGAAGGCAGAGGGAGAGTGTGGCAGGTGTTGGGAGTGGCCTGAGCTGGCCCAGAGGCGCGAGGGCTGGTGATTTATTTGGGGACGTTGAGGGGTCCACGGTGCTGGTGTGGAGGGCGGTATGGTGCTTACACCTTGGCCTGTGGCCTCCCTGGGCTGGGCAGGTCAGACCCAGCTGGTGGGAGGCTCACGGTGCCGGGCCGTTTGGACTTCATCCCGAGCAGGCTGAGGGTTCTGAACTTTGTCCTGCGCGCAGGGAGCCAAGGCACGTGTGGGAGAGAGTGAGGCAAGCAGTCGGGGCTGCTTTTCCCGGAACAGAGCCCTGGTCTACGCGCCCTGAGACAGGACGGCACCCTGGGTGGTGGTGGGAGGGGGTGGCTCTTCGTGGTGCCCGAGATAAGACCAGCTCGCCACTGGGCAGAATGCTGCTTGCTGACAGCCGTGAACTCACTTGCCAGCATTTTGTGACCCTGGGTGAAGGACTTGACCTCCCCAAAGAGACCCACTTCCTCCGGCGCGTACACAAAGGCCGAGGGGAGGCTGTTACTCGGCAGATCTGAACTCACGTCAGTGCGCGCCCTGCCCTCCTCTACCTGCCCCCTCCACGTGCCCCCCACCCCCGCACGTGTCCCTGCCCTCGGCGCCCCCCTTCCCATCTCCCCATCACTTTCCTCCACCTGCGCATCTGTTTCCAAGCTCCCTGGGGCCTTCCTTTTCCACCTTCTCCTCGAGCTCACCGAGTCTTCTTAGAAGGAAGACCGCTCCCGCCTGGACCCGTTAGCGCCTCTCACAGCCCCTGACGTGAGTGCTCTCGGTCATCCCGAAGCCTGGTTTGCCCACACGGTCCTCACTCAGCCTGCTCCATGACTGCCACATCGGAGGGCGGTGTGTCCTCGCAGTCCGTGCTATTCTGGTTCTCCGCGCTGGGCCAGCCCTTCTAGCCCGTGGGGCGCTCACAGCGTGGGGTCCCTTTGAAGAGGTGCCCCCAGTTCCTCTGACTCCGCTGGCGGGGAAACCGGATTCAAAGCGAAACCGGGCCCTCCCTGGCGTTTGATGTCAGCACAGATTTATTTCTGAACCGAGAGCCAGTTGTGCAGATCGCGGGGAGGGAAATCCCATAGTAGGCTTTTGTGCTTTAAATGACCTTTTTAAAAAGAAACAGTTTCTGTCAGTTTTCGTTTTATGCAGATGACGCTTCCCACCCCGTCGGATCCCACAGAATGGGGGTCAGCCTACATTTTCTGTGAAGGGCCACAGGGGAGTGTATTTGGCTTCACGGGCCACGTGGGCTCCGTGGCAAGTGCTCCGCTCTGCAGTTGTACTGAGAACAGCTGTGGGCCCTCCATCCGGGAACCGGGCAGCCAGGTTCCAATAAAACTTTATTTACAAACACAGAAGGGGGGCCGGATAAGGCCTGGGGGTTGAGGGACCATGCACTCTCCCCAGTGGCCCCGGGGTGAGTGGCCAGGGGGTCTGAGCGTAGGAGGACCCATTGGAAGGAAAGGAGGGGCGTGCAGCCAGACGCGGTCCTTAGAGCCAGCTTGAGGGGCGCCCTTGGGGGACAGCCTGGTGGGGAGGACCTGGAAGAGGGAGCTCCTAACAAGGTGACAGGTGAGGTGCATGGAGGTTGGCTGAGGTCAGGGCAGGTGGAGGGACAGTGAGATGCCAGTCGGCCTCAGGCAGCGCCCCTGCGTTCCTCCCTCGAGTGCTGGTGACAGTGGCCCCGTGTCCCTGCTTCCTTGAGCTGTAAGCCTGCTTCACTGAACACGCCCAGCAGCGTCAGCACCTCACTCACAACAACGCACCAAAGCGCCAGAGCTGACGTGCCCGTCGGAGCAGTGGTGGCCCGGACCTGCGCTGCCACCTCGTGTCGGCCTCCAGGCCCGGGTCGCGGCGCCCTGGGCTTCTCTCCACGCCACGACCGCCGGGTGCCCAGGGCCGTCAAGGACACGCTCCCGTGCGGGCTGGGGCCTCACTGTGCTTCTGGCCATCTGAGAGCCAATCTGTGCCCCAGGCCTGATGTTGGGGACCCCAGTCCATCAGGACCCTCGGCCAAATCAGAGCCCCCCACCCCGGCTCCAACTTGGCATGGCGCGTGTCCCGTGGTGCCAGCTGGCGTCTGCTCCGGTCGTGCGTCTATTGTCAGGCGGGCGGCTGTGGCCACCTGTTTGTGTCCATGGCAGGTCCTTGGGGGAGACCAAGGAGCGTGCCCTGCGTGTCTGCGTGAAGGTGTTTACAGCCCGAGGGGAGCATGTGCCCCAGGAGCCCAAGTGTGCGGAGCGCGAGTCGGGTCCAGAGAGGCCCCAGGAGCCCCAAGAAGCCCCGCGGTGGGGAGGGCCCAGGGCCCGTGGGTGTGACGTGTGGCACACTGGCCCCCTGGGTCCTAGCACAAGGCTTCTCTCCTGGGGACTGCCCCTCCCCCCCGGCCTGGCAGGCCCCCCAGGCCTCGGGAGCTACCAGACTCGGGGCAAGCGTGCTGGGCGCCCCGACGCTGTGAGACCTGCTCGTGGTGAAATCCTCCAGAGACACAGGGGCCGTCCTCGTAGGGGGCTCTCTGGGCCGCAGGCCGGAGCAGAGCCCGAGCATGTGTGAGGAAGAGGAGAGAGCGTCGCCTGCGCTCGATTCTGCCGGGAGGGGGGAGCGTCACCTGCGCTCGATTCAGCCGGGCAGCTGCAGGGTCCAGGCAGGCGCTGACAAGCAGGTGGCGGCGATGCTTTCGTGTGACGTTAACGGTCTTTCACGTAAAGAAGGCTGTTCTGGCGTGAAATGGAAAAGACGAGAGGCAGCCCCTTCTACCCCAGGCCCCCGGCCACCCCACTGCCCTTGAGGGAGGTGTCCCATGTCTCGGGGATTCTGCGGCCTGCTCCTCTGCCTGACTTTGAATTCAGATGCAGAGCAAGGGCCCTGATGGCCGGTGTGCCCCGGCCTGCCCCGTCCTGCGTGGTCAGCCCGCTGCCCACATCCTTGCTCCATGTCCAAGCTTGCTTGTCCTCCTGGTGCTCTCCGTGCAGCCGTCCGTGAGCAGCCTGCTGCCTGTAGGACGCAGAAGGAGGACCTTGCAGCCAGCCACCCGCTCCTGTTCCTCCTCCTGGGCAGAGTGGGCCGGGCAGCGGGGCTGCGTGGGCAGCCAGGCTCTGTGTGCTCGGGGTCTGGCGGGGCAGAGGAACCAGGGCAGCTGTCTGTGCCCTGCTGGTGTCCGCACGCCTCCTGTCCGTTGCAGACTCTACCCGCCGGGTACAGATGCACAGCCCCAGCCCACCCCAGAGTATCCCGGCCCCTTCCTGCCGTGCCTCTGGGTGGGGGCGGTTAGGGGACGCTGACCTGGGCAGGCCCACTGGCCTGTGCCCCGGCGGGGGCTGGTCGCGTGACCTGGGCTCGCCTGTCCTCCTGGAAAGTGAGGCACTGGCCCAAGGGGGCCAAGCTTTGCCCAGAGCCAGCTGGGTCACCTGTCAGTGGCAAATAGGCAGTTTTCCCAGGAGCTTCGGGTCAAGGACGATCCCTGAGCTTGCTGGGGTCCCAGAAGCTCCTCCCAGCCTCCTGCCTTGTCCCGTGGTCCCAGCCACGAGCCCCCGCCCGGGGCCTGGGGACGGGTCTGCTGACTCACCGTGTTCCCTCCCGGCCTCAGGACAGAGCCGTGGGGCTTTCGTTCTCCCCTGCCCCATCCATCCCTGGAGGGCCCCATGAGGTGGTGCCACCACTGCCATAGGAGCCACGGGACCAGGAGGGGACCTGACACAGCCGCGGTCAACACCGGGTCTCCCTAGGGAGGCCTGTCTGTGTCCTCGCTGTCCTCTCTCGCTTTCCCCGCCATAAGATGTGTACGGTCGTACCCTGGCTGTACTGTCGGAGGGAGGACGCCAGCCCCAGCCTGGTCGGGGACACAGGTGACCCCTCGGAGAGGCGTCCTCATTTGGCTGGGACTCTGTTCCTGCTGGATTGTCCTGCCCCAGCATGGGGCTCTGACCCTGCCTGTCCCCACAGGCAGCCTGTGAGTACGGCATGGTGCACGTGGTCTCCGAGGCCGGGGGCCCCAGGGGCAGAGATTACTGCATCCTCTACAACCCGCAGTGGGCCCACCTGCCACACGACCTCAGCAAGGCGGTGAGTACTGGTGGGGGCCCTCCGCTCGGGGCACCCTCCCAACTCAGGGCCTCTGTCTTGCTCGCCGCCATCCCTCCGCTCCTCTCCCCGGGTCCCCGAGGGCCCTCTGGGAGACTCATCTTGCAGAGCCGGCCGCAGGATGGAGAGGGACCTCAGCAGGGAAACCAGGGGGGCCGCTGGAGTCTGGGGCGTCCCCAGAGAAGCCCCACAGCCCCACCAGGCCTCGGTTTCTTTGGTCATAAATGAAAAATGTCTGGAGCCCTGTTGAGGGACAGCCCTGGTGGGACACTCGTCAGGACCCCGCATGCTGCACTGGGGCTGCTGGCAGAGCGGTCCTGAGGGGGTGACAGCAGAGGGCTGGCAGGCCAAGGGGTGGGACACCCAGCCCCCCCAGGTGCAGCCCGGCTGCTGCTCCCGGCACTGGCCTCCCTTGTCCACCCAGGGGGCCCTGGGGCTCAGGGGCTGAGAGTGGTTCTCACTGTGACGGGGAGGCCCCCGTCCACGCACCCCTGCTGACCCGTTGCCGTGGATGCTGGAGACGGGGTCAGGACACCAGGGAGGGTCCCCTGGGAGCTCTGAGCGCATGCCACCTGCAGCCCCTCTTGTCGGCCTCATGCTGGGGTGTGTATATGAGTGTGCGTGTGGGTATGTACATGCATGTGCATGAGTGTGCACCTGTGTATGTGGGTGTATGTGGACGTGTGTGTGTGCTCACATGTGTGTGTGTGCAACCCTGCTCGCCCCCGCCCTGCCGAGGAGGCTGAGCCTGGCGGGGTGCTGCCGGGAGGGTAGTGCCAGCCGACGGTCCCACAGAGAGAGGGGCTGAGGGGCTGCTCGTGGGCAGGCACCCCTGCCGACCTGGTCTGGGGCCCCATCCGCCCTGCGTCCGGTGCAGCTCACGGGAATGCCGCCTCCCTCAGTCTCTCCTGCAGCTGCGGGACTGGACGGCCTCTGTGCTCTGCTCCCCGGCCGACCTCCCCGCCAAGGGCTTCAGCAACCAGATCCCGCTGGTGGCACGGGGCAACTGCACCTTCTACGAGAAAGTGAGGCTGGCCCAGGGCAGCGGCGCGCGCGGGCTGCTGGTCGTCAGCAAGGAGGCGCTGGTACGGCCACGGGGCAACAGCCGTGGGCAGGGGCGAGGCGGGAGGTGCTGGAGCTGCCCTGACCTCCTCCTGCCCAGGAGGCCCGCGTCTGGGGTCACAGCGCTCAAGGGGGGGCGCAGGCGGGTGCAATAGAGGGAGGCGAGGAGCTGGCTTTGCTGACCGAGGCTGTGGACGCTGGCCCTTGGACCACGGTCTTGGAGGGAGCCCTGTCCCAGAGCAGTCCTGGGGCTGGGGAGACGAGCTCTGGGGGCCTTCTGAGGAGCAGGTGGCGTGGGCTCATGCCAGCCTGTCCCCTGGCCCTCCCAGGCCCCAATGGCCCTTGACAGGGCCTGACCCCAATGTTTGGACATGAAGGGAGAGCTTTTCCTCCCCCAGCAAGTGAGGCCGAGCCTGCGGGCCTGCCTGCCCCCAGTGTGTCCCTCTTCCCACCACCTGGCACCCGAGGACCCCCCAGCCCACCCACGTGGGGCTCTTTGCTCCGTCAGAGAGCGCTGGCTCTGCGGGCCTGCTGTCAGGAGGGGCTGGTGGCAGCCGTGTCCTGGGGGGGCTCGGGGAGCCATCCATTCTCCTTCCCCCGTGTCCCCTCCTCGGGCCCCAGGTCCCCCCAGGAGGCAACAAGACGCAGTATGACGAGATTGGCATTCCCGTGGCCCTGCTCAGCTACAAAGACATGCTGGACATTTTCAAGGTAGGGTCTCCTGCCCGTTCCGGGCTGTGGCCACCTGGGCCTGCTAGATGGGGTGGGGCCCGGGGGCGAGGCCTCCCTGCCCGGGCTGGCCCGTGGGTGCTCAGGGCCTGGTGGGAGAGGGCCCCCAGCACTGGATGCCAGCATTGGAGCCCACAGCCCCAGCCCTGCCCCAGGCAGCCAAGGGGAGCCACCCTGGGCCTGGTGTCCTCTGTCCTGCAGCAGCCGGACCCTGGCTTCCCGGCTGGGCTGACCCGGCCGCTCGCATGCGCCTGGCTTGGGTGCTCGCAGACACGCAGGCTGGCCCCGTCTGACCAGAGGCCTGTGTCCAGCTTTTCCTCGGGGAGCTGGGTGTGGAGCAGGCGAGCTTCGTCACACGGGGGAAATGGGCACGTTCAGTCTTGGCGGAAGCTGCTGGCAGCTGGAGTAAACGTTCCCAGCCGGCCGCAGGCTCCACGCCTCTCCCCAAGGATGCGCGTCGGCCTCCGGGGGACGTCCGCCCTCGTCTGCGTGCGCGCACACACACACACACAGATACACAGATACACACGCACACACACACACGCACACACGTGTCTAGCTCTAGGCCCTCTGTCCCCACAGGCGTGGGCCCCTCGCCTGCCCTCGAAGCTCGCTCCGTCAGAGCCAATGTCTCGGGTCGGGTGTGGCGGGTGAAGCGGGGTGGGGGGCAGGGGCCCCAGGGACAGGCTCTCCCGGCACCCTGCTGCACGAGTGGGCCGGCCTTGGCTCTCTGCGGGGGGCGAGGGGCAGGGGATGGCGGCCCCAGCCTTGAGCTCCATGTCTCCTCCGAGGCAGACGTTCGGCCGCGTGGTGCGGGCGGCGCTGTACGCCCCCAAGGAGCCCATGCTGGATTACAACATGGTCATCATCTTCATCATGGCCGTCGGCACCGTCGCCCTCGGCGGCTACTGGGCCGGGAGCCGGGACGTCAAAAGGTGAGTGCCCACCAGGTTGCGTGCACGCGCATGGGGCAGACGGGCGCCCTAACTTGGATGTGGCCCTAACACCGAGACGTGAGGACATGACAGTCCGCCCGGAGGAGGGTGTCCCCACGCCGGTTGGCGGGCGGCCGACGGAGCAGCCGATGTGCTGTCACGTCCTGGCCAGTGGCCCCTCGGCCTGTGTCTCTCCAGGAGGTACATGAAGCACAAGCGGGACGACGGGCTGGAGAAGCAGGAGGACGAGGCGGTGGACGTGACGCCTGTCATGATCTGCGTCTTCGTGGTCATGTGCTGCTCCATGCTCGTGCTGCTCTACTATTTTTATGACAAGCTCGGTGCGTCCTGGCCGCCCACGGAGTCCCCGCGAGGGCCAGTCTGGGGGGCGAGTAGGGGCTGCCGTGGCCGGCGCCCAGGCCGGGGCTTGGGCCTGGAGCCGTCCCCTCCCTGTGCTTGGCGTGAGTCACCCCACCCAGGGGAATGACCATGGGGAGCCCTCCTCGGGGGCGGAGACCGTGGCGGCCCCCTCACCGCCCGTCCCCCACAGTCTATGTCATCATCGGGATTTTCTGCCTGGCCTCCTCCACCGGCCTCTACAGCTGCCTGGCGCCGCTGGTCCAGAGGCTGCCCTTCTGCCAGTGCAGGTGAGCCCCGGGCGGCCCCTCGCCGTGGCCCCGTCTCCTCACCCGTCCGCTTCTGTCTCCTGTGTCCTGGCTCCTGAGGTCCCAGCTCTGCTTCCGTGGTGCCGAGCACCCCTGCACTCTCCTGGCCCCCGCCATCTGGCACAGCGAGGGCATGCAGCAGGCGCTCACTCAGTGTTGGCTGGCGCCCAAGGCCTCAGAGCGGGGGGCAGTGCGGGAGCGGGCGCTGGTTCTCAGGCCTCTCTCCCCACGTCCCGTTCCTGGTCGGGGCCAGTGGGGATGCAGGGGCTGAAGTGGGTGCTGGGGACACATGTGGGTCCCAGGCGGGGGCGGCAGGGCGGGGCCATGTGGTTAGATGCGCTGACGGTCCAGGCCCAGAAGGTTCCGTGTTGCCGGGCTGGCCTGGTTCTTACAGGGCAGAGGGTCATGTGCTGAAGGGTTTTGACCAGGTGACACATGTTCAGAAAGCTCAGCTCTGGGCGGGAGGCCTCGTGGGGTGCCCTCGAGGGTGAGGGGGCAGGCAGAAAGGACACAGCGCTGGGCCAAAGCCTCCCGGCGGCTTCCAGGGGCAGGACTGGCTTGGCGACTGGCCAGAGTCCACTGGCCCCTGAGTGCCTGCCCCGTGCAGCGCGGCTCTGCCTTTGGGGGCCTCCCTTCTATAAATGCAGGAAGAGGTGAGGGGATGGTGAGCGGCAGGGTGGGGGGCAGCCCCGCAGAGCAGAGCCCCAGGGGGCCGAGGGCTGTGAGGTCAGAGGTCATGGGGGTGGCGAGGGCCTGCTGACGGCCGCCCCACCCGCAGGGTCCCCGACAACAGCCTGCCCTACCTCCACAAGCGCCCCCAGGTGCGCCTGCTGCTCCTGGCGCTGCTCTGCCTGGCCGCCAGCGTGGTGTGGGGAGTCTTCCGGAATGAGGACCAGTGAGTGCACCCGGGCCCCGGCAGGCGGGCGGGCTGTCCTCAGATGCTCCCAGCGCTGGAGCCGCGACTTCCCGAGGCCCGAGGCCGTTCGGGGGCACCTGGAGCTGGTCCAGCTCCCGGTCATGAAAAGCCTCTTCAGTTCTTTGGCCGCCGTGGCCGCAGGCGTCCAGGTGCTGCCCGGGCTCAGCTGGCGGCCGCCGAGCATGGCCACCCTGCCTGCCGCCCGCGTCAGGTTTCACTCGGTCTGTCCGGCTGCCACGCGAGCTGCGATTGGAATCTGGATACGAGATGCCACGCAGCCTCCCAGCCCGGCGCCCTGGGCGCGGCCTCCAGGCCGGCTTCGTGGGCCCAGGCGGGGGCCTGGCGCCGCTGGTCCCCGCTGCTCCCGTCGGGGCGCCTGCCCTCCCGGCCGCGGGGTGTGCTCAGTGGCACCCCGCCTGGACGGCGCTGCTCTGAGCGCTCACTTCCCCGCGGCGCGGCTGCGCTGGGCCAAGGACAGAGCGGGGCTGTTCCCGCCTGCTGCCGCCGTATCGCTGACACCATCTGGCGCTCCCGGAGCCTCTCCCGAGGCAGTTAACGCTCTCGGCTGCACCGCCGCCTGGAGCCACAACAGATTTAACTGGCAGAAGGGAAACGGGGAAATATTTTCAGTTCTCTGTACACAAAGAGAAGGCGACGCGTGAGAGTCAGATCCAAGCCAGCAGGCCCGCTCCGTCCTCGCAACTGGCACAGGCGCCGTTCCTGCCGCGTCTGGGCGCCCACCCGGCCGCCCGTGGGCCTTCCCATTGCTCCTCGCAACACTGCCGGCCGGGAGACCCTCCATCCCGTGTCGGGCGAGGGATGAGCAATAGGGGCGGCAGAGCCCGTCCAGGCCGTGGGAGGCGGTGGGAACCGAGGACGGAGCCAGGGGCGGGGGCAGCGGGGCCTGTCACTGCATGAGCCCCGAGGCCAAGGGCAGGAGGGCCCAGGGCAGGGGTCTCGTTTCCCAGCCGCCCTTCTGTCGAGCCAGGTGTCTCTTAGAGTCTCGACTGGGGCTCTAAGAGTGAGCAAGTGTGATTTGCAAATTCAGAAACTCGGCCCTGCGCTGGCACACCTGCCTCGCGGGCTCAGCGTGGACATCTGTGGGGAGGCGGTCTGCGCCTCCACTTCCTCCTCTGCCCTGTGTTCCCACGGGACCGTCCTCAGGGCCTGCCCCCGGCTGCCCCGGCCCCAGTGTCCCATGGGCCGAGAGGTTGTGTGTGGAACCGGGCTGGGCATGGGTTTAATTTTTCCAAATCATTTGAGAAATATTTTTGGAAGTTTGAATCCAGCAGATGCGCGATCCTCCCCCCCGACGCCCCGGGCCTTGCGTCGTCCGGTGACCTGCGTGTGACAGCTGCCACGGCAGAGGGACAGGGACCCCAGCGTGTGTCTGCTTCTCTCTGGCCTTGAGGCCTCGGGGTGGAGGGGTCAGTTCGGCCCTGCTCCCACGTCCGCTCTCCCCGCCCGTCCTGACGCCACGAGGACCCCCTGCAGGCCTCGGGGTTGCATGGCTCAGGCTGGCGCAAGACGGCCCTGACCGCGTGGGGGCTGCGGCGGCCGAGGAGGGAGGGAGGCGACGGGTTGTGGCTCCTGGAGCCCCTGCCTGGCGGTGACCTGCTCTGCCTTGCAGGTGGGCCTGGATCCTTCAGGACGCGCTGGGCATTGCCTTCTGCCTCTACACGTTGAAAACCATCCGCCTCCCCACGTTCAAGGTGAGGCCAGGGGCAGGCAGTGCTGGTCAAGGGAGCCTGCAGATGTGGGTGCTGGGTGCGGCGGCCTGTGTCCCAAGGGCCCTTTAGTGTCAGCCAGTCCTCGAGCGGCTCCAGGCCTGACTGACCCCGGCTCTGCCCGGCCTTCCCACTCCGAGTGTGGCCCTCTGCGGGCGGCATGGTCTTTGCCAGCCTGCCCTTCCGCCACCTCCCTGGTGATGAGGCTGAAGGGTCAGCTGCAGTGTGGCTGCTGCACTGGCGACCACTTGGCCAGGCCCCTCGCTAGAGCCCGGGTGCTGCAGGGTGGTCTCTGGCCTGGGGACAGCGCGGCACTGGGACTGAGTTCTTGCTGGAGGAGGGGACAGAAGGAGGAAGACCGGAGGAAGCTGGGGGGAGGGGGCGCGCAGACACACGCGGCTGGGACCCGAGTGTGCCGTCAAGGTCCTCGGTCAGGGGACCCCCATAGGAGTCACTTGGAAATACACGGGGAAGCGGGAGGGGCTTGTCCCCCGCGCGGCCGCAGCCGGACCGGTCACTCCTCTGAGACCTGGGAAGGCTGACCTCTGCTCTCCCGAGCCGCGGCTGTGCTGGCCTGGCTCCCGGGCGCCTTCCCGGCCTCTTGCCCGAGGGGCGGGCTGGCTGTGCTGGCTCTCCCGTGCATGTCTGTCTGTCCGTCCCGTGTGTGCCTGGTGGGGTTGGGGCTGGGGGCGGGGCCGGGCGGGCGGGTGGCCCTCAGCGCGTCCTCCCGCAGGCCTGCACGCTGCTGCTGCTCGTGCTGTTCGTCTATGACGTCTTCTTCGTGTTCATCACGCCCTTCCTGACCAAGGTGGGGTCCCCGCGGCCCCGCAACCCCTGCCCCCAGCCCTGTGCCCCGCGCCCCCTTTGCCCGTGTCCCTGCCCTGTGCACCCCGACCCCTGCGCCCCGCCCCCTCTGACGCAGCCCCTGTCGCCAGAGCGGGAACAGCATCATGGTGGAGGTGGCCACCGGGCCCTCGGACTCGGCCACCCACGAGAAGGTACGCGGTGGCCGGGGCCGCGGTGCTGCCCGGGGGAGTGGGGCTGGCAGGTCCTGGACGTGCCTCCTCGCTCTCCGCAGCTCCCCATGGTCCTGAAGGTGCCCAGACTGAACGCCTCCCCGCTGGCCCTGTGTGACCGGCCCTTCTCTCTCCTGGGCTTCGGGGACATCCTGGTCCCAGGTACCGTGCCGGGGGCGGCCCAGGTGTCCCTGGCAGCGTCGGGCCAGAGAGGCAGCGGGTAGGGAGGGACGGTGGGTGGTGTATGGTCAGGGTGGGCCCCGGGGACAGCGCTGCCCAGGGCGGAGTGTGGCCTCACCCGCCGACTGCCCCAGGGTCCACCCACAGTGGGACCCCCCGGCCCTCTGCCCCACCAGGCGGCCTCCGAGCTGTGGGTTTGTGCGTGTCCACTGCCCTGGTTGCCCCCCTCGAGTCTTGGGGGCATCGTCCCGGTGGGCAGGGGGCCCCTCCGGGAAGCAGTGACAGCCGCTGGACGGGATGGCGCCCAGCACTCGTCCCCCCCACGGGCGCACCCGGTCCCCAGCAGGCGCTCTGGCCACGTCCTCTGTCCCCAGGGCTGCTCGTGGCCTACTGCCACAGGTTCGACATCCAGGTGCAGTCCTCCAGGGTCTACTTCGTGGCCTGCACCATCGGTGAGTCTGCGCGCCCTCGCGCCCAGGGCCCTGGGTCCCCGTCCCCTTCCTCCACAGGCTCACGGGGCCCTTGCCCCGTCCTGTCTCCTGGCTGACTCCTGCCTTGCACGCCTCGTGCCCGGGGGTAGCGTGTGTCCGGAAGACGCTGGAAGGGCCCATGCTCGTCCGGAAGCTCCGGCTCCCGCTGGCCGGCCCCCGTGTGCCGCGTTGGTGGCGCTTTCTGCCCGTGTCGTTCCCAGAGCTGTGCCGTGTCTGTCCCCGCCCCCAGCATCCCTGCGGAGGCGGGTGGGGGGCCTGGGGTCCAGGCCGCGGTAACGTGCTGCCATCTCCGTCCTTCCAGCCTACGGCGTCGGCCTCCTGGTGACGTTCATGGCGCTGGCGCTCATGCAGCGCGGCCAGCCTGCCCTCCTCTACCTGGTGCCCTGCACGCTCGTCACCAGCGGCGCGCTGGCCCTCTGGCGCCGGGAGCTGGGCATGTTCTGGACGGGCAGCGGCTTTGCGGTGAATACCAGTTTGCTATGACTGTCTGCGAGAAATAATAACCTAATAAGCCCTAACTAGAGTTAAAGTTGAGTAAGAGCTCCTAGTTTTACCACTAAACCCCGCAGCCCCTGTCCCGCGGTCAGTGTTTCCGGGTTGCCAGAAGGTTTTGCTCTGGGAGCCGTGCTTGTGTAGCTCTGGCGGCTCTGAGCCGTCCCCGTGGAGGGGACAAGCTTGTGGCTGTCGCGCCAGGCATGACTTGAGGATGGTGCTCGTAGCCCCTCTTCCTGAAGGTGCTGATCCCCGGGGACAGTGACGCCCCATTCCATTAGACACCCACTTCCGCCATTGAGAATGCAGTGCCAGGCGTGGGGGGCCACCCAGCCCTCCTGCCGGGGTGAGAGCTGTCCCGGCTCACGCTGGACCAGCTGTGTGAACGGTGACAGCTGGGAGAGCTCGCTGCGGGGACCGGGCAGCCGTGGCGTCCCCAGTGGGGCACCGGGGAGGGGCTCCCGGTCGTGGGGTTTGCTGCTACAGTTTGAGGCAGGAGGGCAGTGGGACACAGGACCTCTGAACGTAACATCCAGTGTCCCTGACTCTGGGGACACTGCTCTCTCCAGTATCTGCAGAAAGGGCGCCTTCTCGTGAGTCACCGTAGCCCCCAGGGCTCAGAGCCGGTCCCATCAGGATGGGGGACTCGAAGCCACTCTGGCGTCCTTGTAAACTGCCCGCGTGAACGCAGGCTTCCCCGCATGTGACACGCCCCTGCTTGGCAGGGGCCCTGGACTGGGGCTGTGGTGTTCCCATGTCCTGTTCTTGAGAACGTGTGGGAACGGTGGGAGGGAGCCGGGCTCCGGGGCTCAGCCGGTTAACTACCCTGGTGGTGGGCCTTTGGCCCTCGCCGACCGCCAAGCCGAGCTCTCTCCCAGACCCTCGGGGAAGGCCTCCTGGGTTCAGTGCCCGCCGTCCTCAAAGGGTCTGAGTCTCCGAGGGCCTTGGCTCTGCCACAGAGCGAATGGGTTAGTTCTGGAAGGTTCAGGAGGGAGGAAGATGCCCAGAGATGTCAGAGGCAGGGTTTCTGCCTTGGGCCTCCCTCCTGTGGCCTATCCCCCAGGAAGGGGCTCCTGTTGGCCTGGGGCCTGACCCTTTGGGGACAGCGGCCCATCTGCCAGCCCCCCGCCCCGCAGCTGCTAGCCGGCCTTGTCCTGCCCCTCACCATTGGCCTTTCTCCTCTTGCAGAAGGACCTACCTCAGCCTCCATGGGCGCCAGCCCCGGCCGCCAGCCCGCAGCCTCCAAAAGCCTCGGCCGCCCTCTCCCAGCCGCCTCCAGGGGAAGATGCGCCCGAGTGCCCTGTGCCCGCAGAGCAGCCCCCCGAGCCGTCCACGCCTGAGGAGATGCGGCCCGGATCCTCCGAACCCACAGCTTGACAGGTGCTGCGGCCCAGGAGAGGTGGCCTGGACCCGGCCCTCGCTGCCTTCCCCGTGCCGAGGGGTCCCCGAGACCGGGCGCCCGCCCCGCCCCCAACTTGGTGCTCTGGTCTGGCCGATGCTCGATGCTCACGTCAGGGTGGGGGCCTCTCGGCTCCTGCTCCCGCTCCCCCTCCCCACCCAGCCCGCCACACTCCACCCCCTCCAGTCCTGCTCCAAGCTCCGTGCCTGCTGCCAGGCCCTCTGGCCGGCTGAGGCCCCGCTGGGTGGCCCCCCAGCCCCGTAGTCGTCCCGTCAGTTTCCCTCTGGTGGTGGCTCGGCAAGGGCAGGCCGTCCCCCCGCCCTGCGGCTGCAGACCCGCCCCATCTGGTGCTCCCTGTGCGCCCCTCTCTCTGGGCTCCCTCCGATGCCACAGCCTGTCCTGGGCAGGAGCGCTCAGGCCGGGTCCCCAGGGAGGCCGAGTGCCCAGCAGAGGCCCTTTCTGCAGGCCGGCTGGGCCAGAGGCTGAGAATGCCACCGCCCCGAGCCTCAGACTCTGGCTGGCATGGGTTCCGGACGCCCGTCTGGTTGGTGGGGCCGTGAGGAGGGGCTGCCACCGAGGGCTTCGAACGGGCCATCAGCGGCCACCTGCTCCCGGCAGGCCACGCCCTCCCCCCCAATCAGCCCCACGCTGGACTCCGCCACATTTTAATAAACGGCCACGACTTTTTGAAATTCCGATAGTGTCGCCTCTTGGGGTGCGAGTCTCGCAGACTGACCTTTGTGGGGCCCAGGTGGGCTCCAGGCCAGGTGGACGGCCCTTGGGGTCCGCATGGAGGCCCCCCGGCAGCCCTGAGGTTGGCTCTGTCTGTCACGTCGGCCCCTCCTTCCCTTCCCGCTCAGAGGGCATCGCCCACGCCCGGCACCGGTGTCTGCACGTTCTCCACCCCCACCCCGTCCCCTGCACGCCGCTCACCAGCCTCCAGCCACGACACAGGCCAGACAAGCGCACTTTTCATTTAAACCACCGACGAGCTTCTGGGACGCGGGAGAACATTCTGGAACTGGCATTTTGTCATCTACCTCACCCACAGGGTTCTCTGAACCTCACGACACAGATGCCGCCATCAAACTGGCCGCGGTCTGGTGGCCTGCACGCCCCAGCCTGGCACCAGGGTCCAGTGACCTGGGGCTGCTGACCTCCAGGGCCACCTGTGGCTCCGGGACCCTGCCCTCCCATCCACGAGGCCCCCGGACTCCAGTTAAGAAGATGCTTCACGGACAGGAAGGGACGGCACGGACCTCCGGCCTCATGGTCCCCACTCCATCTCCTGGACAGTGGGCGTGGGTCAAAGCAGGTCCGCTCTGCACACGCCAGCGCTGGGCAGAGACTCCCGCAGCCCGGCAGCCACGCTGCTCGAGGGAGCGATGCTTACTCCAAAACCGGAGCCGGCTTCCTCCTGTTTCCCCGTGTTTCTCAACAGGAATGGGTGGCCCAGCCCAGGGGGAGCAGCCGGCCCCAAGGCGCCCCCAGGACCCGGGACGCAGCCTTGGGCAGGGGGCCCGGGTGGACCCCTTCTGCCCAGGGGACTGCGCCCTCCCCAAAGCCATTTTGTCCGTCGATGTCAGAGCGGGAGCCTCTCTCTTTTCTGTTCCGGAAATTTGACAAACGCCACGGAACTCACAGGCAGACGTTAGCTCCCGACGTCGCCGTTAGCGGTTTCCGCCTCGCTCCGGTTGGAACCTCACAGTTAAACACGCTTTGCATACTTCAGCCTCGGCCGCCGCCGCCGCCTCCTCCTCCGCGGCGCCCGAGAGGCTTCCTCCCGTGGGAGGGACCCCCGCCTGGAGGACCGTGGCTGCCACGGAGCTTCTGCTGCGACGTGGCTAGTTGTGGGGTCACAGCATCCTCACCGAGGGCGGAGAGGGCGGAAGGAAGCTCAGAGGTGACTGCGTCGTCCCCCGTGTGCGGCCCAGGGGAGTGGCCAGCGTGGTGAGCCCAGTGGTCAGGCTTCACTGACCCCACTGTCCTCGGCGGGAGGGCGTGTCTGGAGGCCACGCGGCTCGCAGGGGCAACTGAGGTCCAAGCAGAGCCACTGCCGCTCCCCCAGGCCACGCTGCTCGAGCGCCACCGTCCCCTCCTCTCTGGCAGAGACCCCAGCCCACAGCAGACCATCGGAAACCAGGACGCAGCCACCCACGGGGCTCAGGGCAGATGTCGCGAAGCCCCCTCTAAGCCAGCAGGGGAGGGATGGTCGAACCCCTGAGAGCCGGTTCTAGAGTATTGAAAATCGCGGGCTATAAAATTTTTATTTTTCTCTTACCGGTGCGCCAGTGAGCTTTTCTCCCGGGAGCGCCTCTCCCTGCCTGCCTGTGAGGGCGTCTCTGCCCTGGGACACAGCTTGGAGGCACCTGCTGCCCCGTGCTGCGGGACCCTCCTGGGTCAGGGCCCCGGCTGTCCTCCAGCCTTTGTGAGGGGGCAGGGCCCGGCGGGGTCCCGGGGGAGGGCGCCCCACATGCTGGTGCTGGGGTGACACTGCTGTGTCCCTGCCCCATGGGGGCCCCAGCTCAGTGTCTTGTGTTTAAGCCACAGAGTGGAAGCTCCTGTAGGGACTGTCATTCTCTTTTCCTAAGCAGACCAGAGCTTACGTATTTCTCATCCACTCATCCGTTCATCCACTCACTTGTCCATTCAGCCAGTCTTCGTCGAGGGCTGCTGTGTGCCCGGCCCTCCGCTCGGGCCCAGGGATGCGCCTGTGAGGCTCAGACCCCGCTCTCTGCCCCAGGCTGGGGAGGAAGGACAGGACACGGGTCAGCGCAGGAAAGGCCCCCAGTTCTGTCTTGAGGGGCAGGTATCCGGGAAGGCTGCCTGGAGGCAGTGACTGACGGCCAGCCCGAGGGACGCAGGAGGGCTTGTTCAGGGCCAGTGGAGAGGGCGGGGTTAGTCAGCCACAAGAGAAAGACGCCGGGAGGATGTCACCACAAGGTGAGGCTGCCCTGGGGGAGAGAGGAGGGTGGCCCCCAGGGCTCCCAGGCTCCCCCTACAGCTGTCCTGGCTCAAAGCAGGATGCACACACCTCCCTGGGACTCACCTGCAGCCGATGAGGGAAGGGCCTGCAGGAGGCCGCGGTGGGAAGAGCCTGGGTCTGGAGCCAGGTGACCGGGGGCCTGTCACTATCCTCGGGCTGCAGCCACCTCTTCTGCCAGAAGGGGTCCCAGCTACCTCTGCAGGGTCGTCTGGAGGGCCAGAGAGGACGCTGGAGTCCCTGCACGTGCTCGATGATGAACGGGGCCGCCGCAGGCAGCTGGGCCCCGCGGGATTGCTCCCCCTCCGGCGCCAGGCTTGGCTCCCAGTCACTCGCAGCGCCTCCCACGAAAGCACATGGCCACTTAGGCCGCAAAGATGTTGCCACTGAGGTGGTCGAACGGCTGGTCTCTGAGGGCAGTTCAAAGAACATCCATTGTCCTGGGCAAAAACTGGTTCTACGAGAGCATGCAGTGTCCCCCCCCACCCCCCTGGCACGGAGGGACCAGGCAGGAGGGGACAGCCGGGTGCTGGCGGGGCCGTGGCAGGAGTGTCAAATCGGAGGCCAAGCCCCCCTCCCCCAGCCTGACCGTGAGAAACACCGGACAGGAGCCCCACAGAGGGGCATCCTGCCACACTCCTGCCTGGTCCCCCTCACGCCAGCCCAGGGCATCAGGAGCATCTGAGGACATCCCAGCCCAGAGGAGCCAGGAGACGGGATGCCCGAGTGTCACATGGGGTCCTGATGGGGTCCCGCAACAGAGGACATCAGGGGAAACTGAGGCAATCTGAGGAAAGTGTGGGTGCTAGTTAACAAGGACGTCTCGATATTCGTTCATTCATTGTGACCACGAGCCACACTGACGTAAGCTGTCAAGGATGGGGGGACAGCCCACCCGGCGCCCCCGGAGCTCGGTACATCTGCACAGGTTCTCTGTAAATCTACGACTGTGCTACAATCTGAAGTGAATTTTAAAATCGTGTCATTACTCACACACACCCCTCCCCACGTGGGCCTCCTGGAAACCCGGCTGAGCATCGGCTCCCGCCCCCTCTGTCCTGGCTCACCTGCCCAGGCCGTGCCCTCTCCACCTGGGTGCGGGGTCCCATCCACAGCAGCCTGAGGTTCAGGACCATGCCCCCTCCCCCAGGGGCTCCCCTGCACCGCGGTGTCTCCTCGTGGAGCTGAGAGCGCGGTGGGGCGGGTCTCGGAGCGCAGAGGAGGGGCGCACTTGGGGGCGGGCACGGGGCAGGGGGAGCTGGGGCGGCTGATTTCCCAGGCGGGGGCGGGGGCGGCGGAGGATGGTGGCACTCCTGCGCCGGGGACCCAGGTGAGGTGGGGGAGGAGACCCCGGTGGAGGGAGGAGGAGGGCGGCGCCCCCGGGCCAGGGGACCCCGGTGGAGGGAGGAGGAGACCCCGGTGCGGGGAGGAGACCCCAGTGGAGGGAGGAGGAGGGCGGTGCCCCGCCCGGTGCCGCCCCCAGCCCCGCCCCGGCTCCCTAAGGCTGGCGCTCAGTTCGCGGCGGGAGCCGGCGCGGTGCAGCCTCGGGGCGGGCGGAGCGCGGTGAGTCTGGCGCCGTCCGTGTGGACGCGGACGGGCTGTGTAGACGCGGTCGGAGCGTGTAGACGCGGCAGGCGCTCCGTGAATGAGGCCGGGCTGTGTAGACGAGGCTGTATAGACGTGTGGACAGCGTGCATGGACGCAGCAGCGCTGTGAAGACGCGGTCAGGTTGTGTGGACGGGGTCGGAGTGTGTGACTGAGATCGGGCTGTGTGGACGCCGCCGGGCACACACTGCGGGGGCGGGACCCCCAAGGGCTCCCCATCCCAGACCGCAGTTTTCCCCGCCTTTTCTGCCCATTAACTTGGCTGAACTGAGCGCGGGGCCGCAGGAGGAGCCTCGGCAGGTCCGGGGTGCAGGGGTCCGGGGTGCAGGCGTCGGGGTGGGGCGCAGGGGTGGGCTGGACAAAGAGGGCGACCATCCCCAGGCGTTTGATGAGGAGCCGCCCTGCCCCCGCCCCGTCCTTCCTTCCAGCCTCTTCCCTGGTGGCAAGTGAATCAATGACAAAGATTTGTGGGTCACACTTTGGGGAGGGTGCGGTCACCAGGCCTAAGATTGGGGTCGGGGTCGCATTGCCTGGGGGGAGGGGCTCATAGGTTCAGTGACATGTTGCGGGAAAGCCACTTTGGGGCACAGATCGCCTGATGATAGCGAAGTTGTCTTGGTCTGTTAGCAATGTGCTTATTGCCCTCGAGCTGGCTAAGGATGGCCGGGCGGGGCCTCACTCTCCATAGTCCCATCTCCCGGGGTCAGAGCCAGGCTCCTGGGACCCCACAGAGGCAGGCTGTCCGTGTAACTAAGTGTGTGACCACATATGTGAGACTGTGCACAGTTGTGTGTGTGGTTGTGTGGCAGTTGTGTATAACTGCGTATGGTCGTGTAATTATGTGTGTGGACATGTGTGATCGTGTGTGATTGTGTCATTGCATATTTGTGTGTGTGACTGTGTGTGGTTGTGTGTCTCTGTAACTAAGTGTGTGACCACATGTGCGACATTGTGTATGGTTGTGTGGCGATAGTGTGTGGTTGTGTAATTATGTGTGTGGTCATGTTGTTGCATTATTTTTGTGTGGTTGTGTCTGTGTGTGGTTGTGTGTCTGTGTGACTCTGTGACCACTTGTGTGAGATTGTGTATGGTCGTGTGGCCGTAGTGT